ATGGAAGTAAATGCTCCAGTTTTTGAACATTTTTCAGAAGCTGAATGTCCAACACGACTTCCGCTTGAGTGCAGGAAGTTCTTGCAGCCAATCGGAAGCCGTGCCTTGGTTGTCAAACATTTCAGAAGCCAAATGGGCTTCTGGAATGGATTACGTTCAACAACCGAGGTTTTTGAATTGTTTTTAATTCATAAAGTCCATAAAGACCTCTACAGGTCAGTCACATTCTGTGTGATATGATGCTGTCATAGGAATTGTGAGGTTGTGGGGGGAGAGAAACTAATTTAACCCAGCAAGCTCTTCCCTCTCTCACACACAAACAAAACTCACTGCAATTAACTGAATGCAACCAACTATGTTCTGAGCTCTCCAACCTCATGCACCGCCAACAAAAACAAACATGTTATTTACATTTGACATAATACTGGGTAGCACATGAGTGCCAGGAGTGACCCCCTGCTGGGTCTTCTTCTGCAATGCATTGCCTGTGTACTGATTGACTGTCTCTCCTCCGGCTGAGCGCAGGTATCCATCCCGTGTGTTTGTGGGCGACACCTTCTGCTATTTCGCTGGCATGACCTTTGCTGTGGTGGGGATCCTCGGGCATTTCAGCAAAACCATGCTGCTCTTCTTTATCCCACAAGTGCTCAACTTCCTCTATTCATTGCCACAGCTGTTCCACATCATTCCTTGCCCACGCCATCGGCTGCCCAGGTAACAACAACAATGACAAAAACCCTCCACTCCCTGTTAGATGCTGCCATGCTTTGTGTGCAACTAGAGCACCACAAATGTAGTCCTTGGCTTCTAAACAAGGGATGTTGAGAACTGTAGTTTGATAAAGGGGTTAGGCAATTACTATCAAAGGCTGAAAAGCAGTTGTAAACTCTGGTTTCCAAGAATATTTTGTTCAGGCCTAGATAGTGTAAATATGCCCTGCAAAGCTACCTGTTTTCATAGGAAATGCATTGGTGAGTCTCCTAGGGTTGGGTACTTTCATCTATTCCTGGCAGAACCTCATCCTGCATTCTTTCTCCCATTGTGTCCCTTTTCATTGCTGATGGGAGCCTATCTCTCTGCAGATTCAATCCAGACACAGGAAATCTAGAGATGAGCTATTCCAGATTCAAGCCCAATAACCTCTCTCCCTTGGGAGCAAATATCCTCAAGGTAAGGACAGAATAATATCACCTTCCATACACTTGGATAGCTCGGCTGAAAGAAAAGGCTTTGAGAACCAGTTAGAAGGGAAAGTGTAATGGGGAGGGGTTGTGTAAGAGAGAAAAGATGCAGTGGAGGTAGGAGCACCCAGGTTTACTTTGGGCGAATGAAATACGATTGGGTGGAACACCTGCTGCTTCTCTCGCTTAATCCTAGAGCAGCACCGGTAACGAAGGTTCTCTCCCCAGATATCTGAGAAACTCCATCTAGTGGATGTGCATCAAGGAGTGGACAAAGATGGAGAATTCACAGAATGCAACAACATGACACTCATTAACTTTGTGATAAAGCTTATAGGACCAACCCCTGAGCGAACCCTGACCATTCTGCTGTTGCTGATGCAGGTAAGAGGCGCTGGGAGAAAGAGCAGGCCAGTGTGGAAAGTTTTGAATAATGCTGTATCTCTGTATCTCAAATGGGTTGGTAATCCAGCTCCCTTCTCCGAGTTAAAATTCAGTAGGCATTGAGTCACATCAACTGCCACATAATTTTTAATCAAACATTGATGGGAGGTTGGGGGTGGAGAGAGAGTAGAGAGATTTGCCCTTCCTCTAACCTGCCAGATCCAATTTCATGGTGTTGACAACTATGTGGGCAATATCCCATCTTCTCGGATTACACAATGCCCTTTGCCTCTGTTTTATAGGTTGTGGGGAGCATCATCGCCTTTTCTATCCGGTACCAGCTCGTGCGGCTGTTCTATGACGTCTGAGCTGCCCTTGCCCCGTTGGTGCTTGCTTGGTGGACTGCCTCGCAGCTCTCTCCCACATGGCCCACAGCTGCACTTGCCCCAGGGCAGTCAGCCTCCCTTCTCAAGAGGGAGAAAGGCTTCTGGGGGGACTTTGGGGATGCACTGATGTCTTGTGGGCTTTTGTATCCATTTGGAGAGCATCTGCTGCTGCTGCTACTCCTGTTATAGGAACTGCACTTTGTTTGTATGTCAGTACTCTCTCTCTCTCCTGTATACTGACAGGGGAGGAGACGCCATAATTTGGGTGGCAGGAGGGTTGGCTTTTGAATATCTTTCTGCAGTGGAGAATTGTGCTGCTACCCTGAAACACAAACAGAAGCAAACAGGCAAAAAAATGCATGTAAGCAGAACTGAGCTCTCCCTATTGCAATGCTCCCCATTTTCCCTGCATCTTTTGTCCTTCAAGTCTCCTGCTATGAGAGAGAGTGAGAGAGAGCTACTTTATGCTCTAGGAGTAAGTGTGTGTGTGTCCCTCCCCAACAGAAGGAAGCAACTTTCCCCTTCAGGCTACCTGTCACTACTTGAGCAAGGCTTCACTGTCAAAATCTTGATAGAATCAAAGCACCAAACAGCTCTGATGGGGGCGTGGGCTTTGCAATTGCAGTTTCCCTCCTAGTTGTTTGTGCTGTGTTTGTTTTGAAGGACTTTGTTTTTATGGTCTCATGGCTAATGCAGTGCCAAAACAGTGACCCCGAAGCTCCCGCAACCAAAGTGGGAAGGAATTCCAATTGAACCTGGTGGGACTGACTTGAGTTCAAACCTCCTTAAGATCCTATTCAGGGCTGCTCTTCTAAACCGTTTCTATACTACTGTCCAACTCTCTCTCACAAACCCAAATGAAGATGATTTGGTATAGTGCTTTATGGTTTCATTGTCTTTTGCTTAAACGGAGCTGGCCTGAGTGTCGAAATGGAGGAGGAGGCTTGGATTAGCTGGAAGTGACATCTTGCGGATGGAGAAAAGAGGGAGGAGGGAATGGAAAATAATGCATCACCCAGGTGACATCCTAGCTTTTAGTCATGAGGGAAGGACAAATGACTGAAGGAAGAGCAATCTGAGCAATCTTAGGTGCACAACCAAGTTTTCAAGCTTTCTCAGCCAACTATCTCTCTAGAACAGGCATGTCCAACTCCCAAGCGACTGTGATCTACTCCCAGTATAAACATTCTGGAAGTGATCGACCCATGGGGGGGGGAGAGCAAAGGTTTTTGACCTTTTTTTAGGGGGATGGGGCCGAAGTCAAAGTTGATGACCTTTTTCTAGGGGTGGGGGCTAAAGTTGATAAACTTTTTAAATTTCAGATAGGTAGCCATGTTAGTCTGACACAGTCAAAATAAATAAATAAATTACCCAGTAGCACCTTAAGGTAAAGGTAAAGGTACCCCTGCCCATACGGGCCAGTCTTGACAGACTCTAGGGTTGTGCGCTCATCTCACTCTAGAGGCCGGGAGCCAGCGCTGTCCGCAGACACTTCCGGGTCACGTGGCTAGCGTGACAAAGCTGCTCCGGCGAACCGGCACCAGAGCAGCACATGGAAACGCCGTTTACCTTCCCGCTATAAAGCGGTACCTATTTATCTACTTGCACTTAAGGGTGCTTTCGAACTGCTAGGTGGGCAGGAGCTGGGACCGAAAGACGGGAGCTCACCCCGCCGCGGGGATTCGAACCGCCGACCATGCGATCGGCAAGTCCTAGGCGCTGAGGTTTTACCCACAGCGCCACCCGCGTCCCAAGTAGCACCTTAGAGACCAACTAAGTATATTCTGGGTATAAGCTTTTGTGTGCATGCACACTTCTTCAAATACCACTTTTTAAAGGGAGAAATAGCAAAGTATGTAGAGCTCACCTACAACAACAACAACGCAGCTGTGACAAGTACTTTCGCTTTCTAACTCATCAACAAAATATCCATTTCACACAACGGAGGAAAAGAGTGGTGGCGGGGACTTTCACTCCATTGTTCATCACTACCACAGATCAAAACAGATCCCCCAAGCGACCAGGTTCTATTCTAGAACATCTACAATGAAGTGCACCCTGGCTACTTACCCTCCTAGCAGAGCCAGGGCAGCCCCCTCCCCCAAGCTGCTGGGCCCTCTCTTATTCCCCCTACCCTTTCATTGCTTTCTCTTAATCCACACTATTCTCCAACATCTATTTGCGGCAGCAGGGCCAATGGCATGGGCATAGCAAGGATGGGGGGGGCTTTGTTGGGGGGGGGAACCCACGTGATTGGTCATTTAATTAAGTATTTCTATTGTTTTACTTGATCTAGAGAGGGCAACTGTCCCCCCTTGGCTACGCCCATGGCTAATGGTGAGGGAGGATCATAAGTCATCTTGCTATACTTCCTACTTTTGTCTTTGAGAGTTGAAGGTGGAAACTAGATTATATTGCCCCACAAATGTGGGATCTTGCTAGAGAGCTATATCTTTCTCTGATAGCTCTTCACATGGAGAGCAAGATGCACTTTTTCCACCAGGTTTTGGGCTGATGATCTACTTGTTCTTGTCCCTACTACTGTGGGTTTTAAAAATCCCTACTACTGGCTTTTAAAAATAGCATTTACTTTGGGGGTTAACAGTTTAGAAAAATGGTAGATAACACAAGTGCACATTAATGTGTACATGATGAATGTGTGTTGGTGGACCCTGATTTTCTACCTGCTGTAGACATAGGAAGCAGCAGTAAAGGAGGGATGGCAGCAGCAAACTACCTTTCATGAGCATAGCCAGGGAGGTGCAGAGACAGCTGCCCCTGCCCAAATCAAGTAAATAAATCTAAATAATGAACTAACTAACCAGATAATTTGGTTCTTCCCCTCACCCCCAACATAAAGCCTGCCACTCCTAAAATAAATCCTGATTCTGCTCATGCTGCCTTTCCTGTTTAAGGTGGAGCTAAAATCGAATGCCGAATACCTCCCCCACATTTAAATTTGGCGCGCGTCTTTTCTACTGGCTCCGCAAACCAACCAATGGGCGAGCAGATAGCGATCCGGGCGCCCAATCCGTGTGTTCGTTTGACGCAGCCGAGGGCCAATGGGAATGCTAAAAGGCTGCGCCCAATGAGAAGAAAGAGCGGCGGCTATAAATGGGTAGGAAAGCGCGGGCTTTCTTCCCTCATTCATTCTTCGGCGGCTCATTGACCTTTGGCGCCAGATCTTCCAGCGGAGAAGCATGTCGGGCCGCGGGAAAACCGGGGGCGGCAAGGCTCGGGCCAAGGCGAAGTCGCGCTCGTCGCGGGCCGGGCTGCAGTTCCCGGTGGGGCGCGTGCACCGGCTGCTGCGGCGCGGCCACTACGCGGAGCGGGTCGGGGCCGGGGCGCCCGTCTACCTCGCCGCGGTGCTGGAGTACCTGACTGCCGAGATCCTGGAGCTGGCGGGCAACGCGGCGCGGGACAACCGCAAGACGCGCATCGTGCCTCGCCACGTGCAGCTGGCCGTGCGCAACGACGAGGAGCTCAGCCGCCTCCTGGGCCGCGTCACCATCGCGCAGGGCGGCGTCCTGCCCAACATCCCCGCCGCCCTTCTGCCCCGCAAGGCCGGCGCTGGAGGAGGAGGAGCGGCGAGCGGCGCGGCGCCCAGGAAGAAATCAACCCAAGCCTCGCAGGAATACTAGGCGGCGAGCGAGCAGCAGCCTCTGGACGGGACTCCGGTAGCAGCCGGCGAGGGATGGACACGAGGACGGGTCAAGCAGCCCCCCTGTTTTCCTGGGGGTTTGGTTTGGGACAAGGGTCAGGCGCCGGGACTGAGCGCATGGTTGCCTGGCCCACAAACGGATTGCTGAACTGGTTGGGGATCCCGTCGAAATTACGTTGCAGGGATCTCGGTGTTGGCTTTTGTTTTATTAAACGAATTTGCGCTGTTTAAACTGGGCTTGCTTAAGTTTATATGGGTGGGGGCAAGCCGCTTAGGAAATAAGGGGCAGGTGAGCGCTGCAAGGTTTCGCACTTCGACTGGAAATGCGATCAAGAGCTACGTTCCGTGCCCCAGTCTCAGTAAGATGTATGATAACTCTTTATCATGAAGTTATTACATTCTTGCACTTTGCCAGGTTCAAATTCTGGGGGAGGGTGGGATTGCCCCTTGCCTGAAGGCATCTGCAGGGCCTTTGCCCGTCACTGTAAACAGTACTGTACTGAACTGCATGAACCAGTGGCCTGGCTGAGTGTAAGCAAGCTTCCTGTGTCCTCTTGGTTGTTACCGTAAAAAGTTGAGAGTGTGGCAGAGATGTGGTAGTTCATAGAGAAGCATAGAGAGGAGTATCCACTGGGGGGAGGAATTAAGATTCATGGCAGCCCAAAGCAGCTTGGCTAACAGGCAGGAGAAAGGTCATTGTTGGCTTGGCATAGAAAACAGGTGGGCTTTTCTCCCCCTCTCCTACCCCCACCCACCAACTAGACCATGCTGACTGGGCTGACATTTGTTTGGTGAAAACAGCCAAAGGGAACTATCTTTCCTAACTTAATGGACTTTCCTGCCATTAGGCAAAAGGGTATTAAAATAACGGAGGTGACTGATGGTGCTATGGAGCTTATAGCTTCCTGCATCTTGCTTTCATGTCCTTATTGTATGGGTGCCTGGAAGCAGCTAGTTAGCCGCTGCTGGAAAGAGGATGGAGTTCTGAAGATCTGAGATTTACCAAGTTTTCTTTCTGCCCGCCCTTACTTCATGATGGTTCTATTATGACCAGGCAAGTTTGCTTTTTCCTGCTAAAGCCCTTTGGTGATTGTTTTGCAATACTCAGGTGAAAACAGGTCTGTTTACAAACTCACAAGAATTCTGGAAATTGTGGTTGGTTAAGTGTGCTGGTATTGCAGCTCCCAGGGGCAGACTGTAGTTCCCAGGGTTCTTTGAGGGAAAGCAACGTGCTTTAAAGGAGCTGGTATGCATACACAAGTAAGCTGCAGTAGATTCAGTTTAAATCTCTTTAATCCATTTGGCAATAATTAAAAAAAATATACACTTCATTCTATGCAACTGTACCAGGTTACATTATTCCTTACAGCAATCAATGAAGGCACCAACTTCTTTTAAATGGTTCTCTTTCTCAAAATTCAGGCTGTGTGTTAAAGGGAGTGATCCCCGCCAGCATGAATCTTCCATTGGAGGCTACAGCATGAGACAGTCCTTAGCAGCACAGGTGAACTGTGGCGTAGCTACCATAATAAATTAAGATTCCCTTCACTGAGAGGGCAGTGGTTGATTTGCAAGAGACTTCATTGCTTCCATGAAGGACAACGGCTAGAGGAGCTTGACATCCAAGGCAGGGCCCCCATCAGGCATCGTTGAGCTGTCGGGCCACGTTGAGGATGTGCTTTGCCCCTCTGCTCAGGAGGAGCTCAGCCACCTGAATGCCCAACTTCTCTGCAGCCACTTGAGCAGACTGAGAGAAATTCTTTGCAGTGATGCCAACATGCTGGATGTCATCGTTGGGGCCATCTTCGTTCTGAAAAGTAAAAGAAAGATGTAAAATCCCTTAGCCAGCAATAGGACATTTGAGGGTTAGAGGCAGCGATTCAAGATTCACATTTATTGAAGGATAGTGGGGGACGTGGGTGGCGCTGTGGTCTAAACCACTGAGCCTAGGCTTTGCTGATCGGAAGGTCGGTGGTTCAAATCCCCGTGATGGGGTAAGCTCCCAGTGCTTGGTCCCTGCTCCTGCCAACCTAGCAGTTCAAAAGCACATCAGAGTGCAAATAGATAAATAGGTACCGCTCCGGCGGGAAGGTAAACAGCGTTTTCGTGCACTGCTCTGGTTTTGCCAGAAGCAGCTTAGTCATGCTGGCCACATGACCCAGAAAAACTCTGTGGATAAACGTCGGCTCCCTCAGCCAGTAAAGTGAGATGAGCGCTGCAACCCCAGAGTCATTCACGACTGGGCTTAACTGTCAGGGGTCCTTTTAGTGAGCCTCCTCAAATTTAACATTGGTTTTGTATCCTCCAGTAAAATTAGAGGGGGGGGACAACCCATATGAACAAGATGCTAGGATTGTACAGCTGGTCTTTTAATGGAGGAGGCTGGACAAGTGTGACTGTCACAATTGGCCAAAACATCTATGAGCTTGTTAGCACATTACAATAAGCCAGAGTTTATTGTGAATGAGCAGCATGCTATTGCATACTTTGCCATAGTTCCTGCTTCACTCCTGTGAAGCAAACCAGGAAGTTGCACTTAAAGCTTTGCTTCCTGTTAACACTGAAATCCAGGATTAGGGTCTGTTGCTCCCTTACATACAGTGGCTTGTTTGGGAGCAACAGGCCACAGTCTCTGCTTTGGATATAATATGAAACAAAGCTTAAATCAGGTGTGGAGAAACTTTGTCCCTCCAGATATTACTGAACTACAATTTCCATCAGTCCGAACAAGCAGGACCCATTGCCAGGAATGATGGGAACTGTAGTTCAGCAGCAGCCAAAAGCTCCTCACACTTTGCTTAGATGTAGTTTTATTGGGTTTTTTCTCTCTCATGTCATGGGAGGAGCCAAGCAGAAAGAATAACAAGGTCCCAGTTTTCCCTTTGTGCTGTTTTGCAATACAGTAGCAGGTACCTCATGTGGAAAATAATTCATGCTTGCTTGCATGGTCTCACGTAGGCTCTCTGATCCATCAAGGCTGTAGACTGCTCCAGTCAAATATAACTAGGGAAAATAAAGAGAAAATGTCAACAGCCACCGCTCTCCCGTTGGAGAAGGTGCAGGAAAGCCAAGGGATGCCATAGGCAGTGTGTGACATCTTCTACATGAGTCCGGGATTCAGCATTGTCACCTTTTTAAAAAGGAAGGGTCCTAGAAGGACAGGAAGGAATTATCAGCAGCAACTTAAACTTTTATGTGAACTACCAAATCTTCCAGGATGAGTGCTGAGACTGATCCAGTCAAGAGGGAAATGAATGTCTGAAGTGGGGGGACTCCCAACTCAGCATTTTAAAAGCGGTTTATAAATGCTTTTTAATAATAACTATCAGCCACAGCCAATAGGATGGGGATTGGAATCAAACATCTGGAGAACCACAGATTCTCCATCCCTGGTCAGCAAACACCTAGTCTGTTGATAATAACCATTTGAACCTACGTTCCAAGTTATTTACATACATTATCTTCTGGTGACCCTTACAACAACCCTAAAGAGTAGGCCAGTGTTGTTATCCTTGTATTGCAGGTGGAAGGCCAAGAAGGTGGGTCACATGTCATGAATGTGAGTTCGCTGGTTCGAGGGTTCTTTGCTCCATCTCAGTCAGGGAGCACTTCCCTTCATACCAAGCAGGGCTATTGCATTCAGCACTGGTCTCTCCCTCCACCAACTGCTTTCAATGCTGGGAAGAGGCCCACAAACCATTGCTAAGAAAGACCCAGCCTGGCTCCTGGCTGGAAAAAACAAGGCCTGTGGTCTTCTGAATTGTCATTACCTGGAAGTCCTTCAGCACGGTGTTCACTGCCACAGGGACACTGCAGCCGCCTTCCTGGAATGGAAAATGTCAGGGAGGTGAACGACGCTGCTGCTGCTACTGCCAAGCCTCCCTCCTCATTTCACTTTTAATTAGCATACCACTTTTCCATATTACTAAACAAGGCGGTTGACAGCAACAAAATATACAATAACCTGATCCAATTTAAAAAGCCATAACATGGCATAACTTTAAAATGAATGACATCAAATAAAGTAATATTCAATAATCTATTTGACTATAATGGTACACAATAAAATAACCCAAAACATGAACCAATAATGACTAAACAAATTCACTCTTAACAATTGCAATAAACTATCAATAATAACTGAGTCACAATGCATACCTTGGGAAAGGATCAAACTGAGAAACACGCAACTCAGAGAACTATTTTTTTTAAAAAAATCCCTGTCTTCCCTAGGAAGGAAGCACCCCACTGCCCTGAGCCCCACACAAGCACTTCCTGAAACCTACCAAGTGCTTCATGAAGGCCCTCTCTGCAATGCAACGCAGCACCGTCTCACCGTCGTGCAGGACGGACACCATATCGAGGATCTCCTGGTCCCTGGCTCTCACCTCCACTGCTAGGGCTCCCTGGAGAAAGGAAGAGGAGCAGGGACAGAGGCCCTTCTCAGCTTCTAGAACAGCCTAATGGCTATGCAGCCCCCACAGCGTTCAAAGCCTCTGCAATGACCAGGGTCAGCAATCAGAGAACAACAGGAGCAGAGTCTCTACTCTGTAAAGCAGGCATGAGCTTGAGATGGAGACATACGACCACCAAAGCATCCACTACCCCTCTCCCCCACAAGCCCCTGCTAAAAACTGCTGGGGGGGGGGGCCAGCCATACCGACCCATAAGAAAAATTACTAAATCCATATTACGCCAATGCCTTTATGAGATCAACCAAAATGTCACAATATAGTGCAAGCTTTTAAGTTTCTGTGTTTTCTTTACTATCTAGCCCAGTGGTTTTGAACCAGTGTGCCTTGGCACCCTGGGGTGCCTTGAATGATGGTCAGGGGTGCCGTGGGCAACATTGGCTGAGGGAACACTCCACAAGGGAGGGTGTTTGAATAAGGTTGAGAGGCTGCCAGCTCTGCAAGAAAGGGGCAACATAACTGGGCTCCTGAGCCCCACAGGAGTGCTACAAAAAGAATGTACTTCAATAAGGCAGCCATGGACTCAAAAAGGTTGAAAACCTCTAATCCAGCCCAATGAATAGTTCTGGGGGACTCAAAAGCTGGCACAATATTTTGTGACATTCTGGTTGGCCCTGGAAAGTAGTTGCGCTGCGATGGATTTTGGCATTTTTGTTGCTGGGATTTCCAAGAGGCAAAAGAAAATGTCTTCAAGGATTCCCACGATGCATACATTTCACCCACTTTTGGACAAGGGGCAAGCAAGGCAGGCATTGAAAGA